CCGCCGTCGACATGGTACCTTGAACGGCAGAACCCCTAGCTCGCGATGGGAGGCTCACACCGCAGACTCAATCCACAACCGTGACCTGAGTTTCGCCCTGCCCGGAAACAACCCAGGCCTTTGGATCAGTTCCCTGCATTGTCGAACATCACCCGTCGAGCAGACCCGGAACATAGAGCATATTCAAGTGTTTATGACGACCGCGTTGGACGGTGCAAAACACTTAGGAAATTTTCAGCAAAACATAAACATACAAAAACACAGAAATGCTACATACGTACGCACATATAATTTAAGCGACCACGAAGGACCGCAATTGTGCATGTTACAACTAAAAGGGGGTAATGTCCCCCCCCCCCCCCAAAATAAGATTACAATAAAAAATTACATAAAATGGCACGCATACCAACAGATATAACTACTCATTAGGCTGGATGTCCTCGTGTAGCTCCTGCCCCTATTCACCCTCACCGGCTTCGAACCGAAGAAACTCGGGAATGACTATCAGACCATCCTTAACCGAATAAAGGAACCCAGTACCCTCAGTTGTCAGCTCGACCCCTGGGTTCACCACCTTTATCTAAATCACTGCGTTCTGAAAGGCTTCCTCACCAATAGCCACCAAGTCGTCAATAACCTGGACAAACCGGGCAACCAGCTCCGAGCGAGTCGTCAGCTGCTTCGTTTCTTCGGGCTCATCTTTGGTAGAGGCAGCCGCAACCTGCAGTTTCTGCACCAGATCCTCAGAAGCTTTTAGCTTGGAGGCTACAATATCCCTCTCCTGGACCGCCTCCTCGCGACTCTTACAAACATCCCCAAGCTCTTTCTCTTTCTCCTCCTGGAGCTTCTTAACCTTTTCTTTTAGAGCCGTCACCGAGGCGTGGTATCTCTTCAACTCCAACTCCAGCGGGGTGCTCTCCTCGGCGTAGACCACGAGCATCTCCAAGACCCTCGTTAAAGTAGAGGCGTCCTAGGCAAGACATACCCTCTTAGTAGGAAGATCCATTTCCTTGAGTCTCAGAGACTCCGCTCGAGGAACAGATAGGGAGGCCCCTTCGAAAAACCTCCTCTTAAGAAAACAGAAGGGAAGCTCGTACTTGCTCTTGCCAGACTCCCGACTGAGGTCCACAACCTCGTTCGGCCGAGGACGTTTGGGCCTGGAACTCACGGGCAGCGACAATGTCTGGGTAGACGGAGGAGTAGATGAGGAGGTCTTCGAGCCAATTGTGGGAGGAACCGTCCACTAGCTAAGACGAGTCTTGCCCAGTGTGGCACCATTTTTCATCTTCCCCAAGGCATGCTTCATCATCCGTTCTTGAGCCGAAGGAATTTTACCTGCAAAATATTAAACACATAAACACAGAAAGATAAAAATTTCGGCAGAATGTAAGAAAAGCGACAACTATCCAAGAGCTCAAGAGCCTCATCGCGAGTACGACACTCAAGAAGCTCCTTTATGTTGATGTATCGGGCTTCCACCTACAGCCCACCGTCTTCCTCGTACAAAGGTCGCCCTACGCGATTCACACACTGGGCAGGGAGGAAGCTATCCATGTAGGCCACCAGCTTGGCATAGCTGACCTTGTCATCCTCCGCGAGTTGGTGAGGTGTGACTATATACTCATCAGTCGGACGGGTAAAATGAGCCCCGCTCCAGCAGAAGGGAAAAATTAAAAAGCCTACAGGCGACTATCTTTCCCTCCTCATCTAACAAATCCTCCCCGTTCTCATCCGTGGAGACCTCCCAAACAAACGTCGAATCGGTGGCCGCCTTCGACACCGGATTGATCACAAAAAACCTTTCCTTGAATGTCCAGATGGATTCGGAGAAAGGTTTGAACAGTTTCCTCCCTTACTTCAAGGAAACCCAGCCAAACCTTTTCCCCGACACCTGTCGCTGAAGATGAAAAATGGTGAAAAATAGTGGAAGGGTGGCACCGATCTGCAGGTGCTCGCATACCCACTCATATGCCCGCATGAAGGCAAGGGAGTTCAGATGCAGCTGTGAAGGCGCCGGATCAAGATGGGAAAGATCGCCCGCTGAAAATTGGTGAAGGGCAATCTCAACCCTATCTCCTTGAAGACGTATTCATACATGGGGAAGCTCTCCCCATAAGCCGAGCAGACGCAATCTTCTCCAAAAGGGAAGTGCATCCTCCATTCTCCTTCCGGTCCCACCGTCATAAAGGCGTCCCCGGTATAAGAGGCAAAGATGGATGCGTGCTCCATAAGCTCGGCTACGGTCCATTCATCCACCAGCGATAACGTCGTTGATGCCCCCACAATCTCAGACGACGAAGAACTGTCATCTGTATCTGTGCTCTCCGAGGAGCTGTCCTCGGATGAATCCTTGTAGAGATCTTCTCCTTTCCTGCACAACATCCCTTTTACCTGAAAAGTAGAGGAAAATAGTGAATTCAATGGCCAAATCAAATCCACCAGTCCACTACTAGTCAAGTGAAAGGGAGCACGAAGGGCCGAGGAAGAGCATTCCCGACCTAAGCCCTACTCAAATGGCGCAGCTACCCAGGCGGGGAAGTCTCTGATTGTTCTACCTAAGACACTCCAGGATAGCCCCCAATCACGAAACCCAGTGGCCTCTCAGGGAAACCACAAGAAGTCGTGGTAACCTAACAACAACACGACTATATATCACCTGAACCTAAAGGGTGGCAACCTATACCCCCTAGTGGAGTCCGACAACGCCGGCGGCTGCAGACAGATGGCTGCACCACCATCTACCACCGACACCACCATTGAATACACCCTTACTAAGATGTTCAATCCTAACCACATGCAATCTAAAGCGCTTAAACAAAGAAAAACAGAAAACAAGCAATGGATAGATGTACTTACGTGGTTAAAGAAGATGAACTAGAGAGGATACGATCCTGGTCGAACCTTATACGATGGTCAGAGTAAAGTAGACGGTGGCGGACGACGGTTGCAGAAACGAGCACAATGGAAGAAGGAAGTAAAAGTTTTGAATGAACAAACGTCTTCGCTATTTATAAGCAGACTCCAGGCATGTGCGCAAGCACACGCGCATAGGGCATCATCGTGACCCTGGCCTAGCCATCATCTCGCATTTAATGCAGCACACGGATCACCTGAATCTAAAGGGTGGTAACCTACACCCCCTAGTGGAGGCCGACTATGCCGCCGTCGGCGGATAGATGGCTGCACCACCATCTACCACCGACACTACCATTGAATACCCCCTAACTAAGATGTTCAATCCTAACCACATGCAATCTAAAGCGCTTAAACAAAGAAAAACAGAAAACAAGCAATGGATAGAAGTACTTACACTGTCGAGGAGGATGAACTAGAGAGGATACGGTCCTGGTCGAACCTCGTATGGTGGTCGGAGCAAAGTAGACGGTGGCGGACGACGGTTGCAAAAACGAGCACAATGGAAGAAGGAAGTAAAAGTTCTGAATGAACAGATTTCTTCGCTATTTATAAGCAGACTCCAGGCACGTGAGCGAGCACACGCGCATAAGGCATCACCATGACCCTAGACTAGCCATTGTCTTACATTCAATGCAACACACGACTCGAGGCACACGTGGCATCTCCACTCTTCACATCCCATCAACCGTTAGACTCCTCAGGTCTCAATATCCTCGGCCCCACGATCATAAGCAAGTGATCACCCAAACATAAGGATACGTACGACGACCTTGTCCGGGAGCAGGCCACCCTTAAGTAATCACTACCATGCCCGGTAGCAACGACTTGGGGGGCTACTGTTCCGGACTGGCCCAATAGCTAAGCATGGCTCAATCCACTTCTACTACCAGAACGACCCAAATTGCCTAAGTCCAACCTCATAGTGGGAGAGTTTTACCTTTCTGCCCCTCCAACAAGGGAAGCTGACCTATTTATCCTTTGTCACAACACTTCTCCCCGTCCATCTTTGTCCGTCACGCACGGTTCCACCATCAAGAAACAGCCAAGACGCTTGTTCCCGTAAATCTGCCTCTACCCGTCACAACGACTAGTTATGGGCACGTCTGTCCGTCTCAACGGCTATTTCTGCAAATTACCTATTCTTTGGGAAACGATTATCTCGCCCTGAAAATAGGGACCAATGATCAAGCGCTGAGGGCATTATAAAACCCTCTCACTTGAGAGGGTCAGATATTCAATTTCTTACATAAACACACATACTTTGTACTTACTCGTTTTCTTACTTTAGCATCAGAGTGCCTTATAGGCACACCCCCTCTTCCTCTTTTACATCCAGCATCACAGACGTTCGTCTTTGACCCATATCAGATTCTGATCGTTCGATAAGATCAATGATGTTGTCCAAATATGAAGAATTTTATTGTTTTTGGTGATGTATGAATGACTAAATACAAAATTATGTTGTCATCTATTTATCTGTGTATGTATGACTCAATGAATTTTACGTAAAAACTGAATCAATCAAACCAAACTAAACCGCATTGATTTGCTTTGATTTGGTTTAGTTTTATTTCTAAAAGTCAACCGAACCAAACCAAATTGCATTGATTTGCTTTGATACAGTTCTTCTAAATATTTTAAATTTTGTTTTTAATCTCTCAAAATATTTTCTTCAAAGAATAATTTTTCTAAAGTTTTTCATCCATACTTTTAGTACCTCCTCAAACTTAACGACGATTTTTATAAGTTAATTTATTATTTAATGAATAAATTAGTGGCGATTTTAGTACTAAGAATAAAAGATATACATGAAATTTTTATTAAAACCATTATTTAAATGAATATTTTGAAAAATTAAAAACAAAGTTTAAGAATTTTAGGAAAATCAGAAAAATATTTAACCCAAAACTAGATATATATAAAAAAATTGCAACAAACACCACTAAAATCAAAGAGACCCTACCAAATCCCCTGAGTTTTTTCTTTCTTTCAGGAATGGTTTTATTAATATTGATTCTTCTCCAATTTTTACTTTGAAAAGGTTTGTTTCTTCTCCAAAATTGTTCATCGCATTTTGAAAGGAAATGGCAACTCGATCGAATTTCTACAAGAATCCTTCAATCTCTTACAACAAAAACTTAAGCCTCTCTTCCGTTCTTCAGAATCTCCATGGTTTGTTTCCGTTATCTCTTTTCTTATTCCAACCCTCTCTCACTCTCCACTCACCAATTTCATAATCTTCAGCTTACAACATCGCCACCGGCAACGTTACTTCCGACGACCAACCGCATCCTGCTCCCACTCCCACTCCCACCGCCTCCGTCAAACGTCGCCGCCATCCCCGCCCACCGCCATCCCGTCACAATCCCCATAAGGATGAGTTTGACGAATTCCCTTCCTCTATGTCTCACTATGATTATATTCAAAAGAGAAGGTAATGTCAATGTCCATGCAATACGCAATTTTCGATGTGAATATTATTATTTTTGCTTTTGTAGATTCAAAATTGATAGTAAATTGGCTTGATCAGGAAGGAAGTTGATTCGTCTAAGAACTGTGACCGCGTTGAATTAACTGAAGATGTATTGGTAAATTCCGTTACTGGTTGAAATTGAATTCACGTGATCCTAATTTTGGAGGTTGCTCTTTAGTCATTCCTTTTCACGTTTTGCTTTCTCTGTGACAGGGAAACCCTAATTCTGCTGTCCCCTTGGTGGATTATGCAAGTAAGTTTTGTGATAATTTCTCTCTACCTTAAGTTAGTGCGACTGTTTTTCCTTTTTAAACATTTTTTATATTCTTGTTGGGGATAAACCTGAATTTCAAGTAGTTGACATTAATATGGAGAAGATTACGAGTTTGATCAAACTAATGAGAACCTTCAATCAAGAAGTTTGTTTGATAAGCAAATTCAAACAGAAGATATTCTATCTGTAGGACAAAATGGTGCAAGTGATTTAGTATTAGAGAGTGTTGGGGTAACACTTATAGTAGAATAGAAAAAATGGTGGAAAATAGACTTAGGTGGTTTGGGCATGTAGAGAGAAGATCTGTATATTCTGTGGTAAAGAGAGTAGATCAGATGGAGAGGAGTCAAACAACTAGAGATAGAGGAAGACCTAGGAAAACTATAAGAAATGTTATTAAGAAAGATCTCAAGATTAACGATTTGGATAGAAGTATGGTCCTGGATAGAACATTATAGTAAAAGTTGATCCATGTAGCCGACTCCACTTAGTGAGATAAGACTTGGTTGTTGACCGACTCATTTTTAATTCCTTTTGTTTTTGCTCCTCTGATACTTGTGAATTAGTTTTCGTTTTTCGGAAGGAAAATGCTTATTTTTTCCTGGGATAGTGGGTAGTTTCATATGTTAATAAACATATGCTTCCTTTCTAAGATTTTTTTTAATGTAAATATGCTATTAGCTGACAGTCTGTCTGTGTTTCTAATAGTTTTCAATTATATTTGTCAATACTTAGGTGATGAAAGTGCTTCTTCAGAATGTGAAGAAACTCATACTCTTCCAAATTCTGGTTTGTTTCTTAACCTGCAAGTTTAAACCTCTGCTAGCACACCTTTTAAAATTTTTTGCTTCCTGTTTCCATTCTGCTATTTATTAAGAAATATATCTATTCGTCTCATTGAATTTGAATGCTATCTTAAGGTCACAAACAAGAATTTAATGGAGTCAAAAGCAAAAATGAGCAGCGTTTTCCTGTATCTGGAGAACCTGTTTGTCTTATATGCGGAAGATATGGTGAATATATATGCAATGAGGTAATTTGTATAATGTAAATATTCACTTAAACTTTTACCTTTCATGTTTTGTTTTGTGTAATATATTTGTTGGCTTTTGTAGACAGACGATGATGTCTGTAGCATGGAGTGCAAAAATGAACTCTTGGAATTTCTTAAACTCAATGAGGTTGAGGTACTTATTTGTAAAAAAAAAAAATTGTAGAAGTTCTAGCCATTCTAAATCTTAAATATTTTCTTCTTCGTCTATAATATTCTTAGGGATCCTCCAATGAACAAGCTAAAGATTGCTCCTCATCTGGAATAAGGGATGCCTTACCAGTTCCTGTCTTTAGTGATGGTACTTGGGATTACAATCGGCATCGCTGGTCAAAAACGAGATCTAGTCTTTCCACATATGAATGGTATATTTCTCCATCAAACACCAGAACGTGCTTATAGAATTCGACATGTCTCTAGTTTTTCAAACGGCATGATAGAAATAAAGAAAATGTCTTAATATGTTATTTTCTGCATACTAACTGACAATTTTGTTGTGTTTCTGGAACATATCCTTTTTCCTTGAAAGACTTTGATTCTTGTCTTGAGGAAAACATTAGAGTGAGAATCGAGAGTGAGAAAGTGGGTCGAGAGAATCTGAAACTGTGAATTCTATTAATATGAGTTAGTGGTTAAAGCTGTGATGTGTCTATTTATAAACTCAAGCAGTTGAGACAGCTTTAATCACCTTTAACTACTTGACTTACGTGACAGCTGTAGCTAACAGGTGAAGAATCTTAACCTATTGAGGCGTAGTCAGAGACATAATGTATAACTATATAACACTGTAAAGTGGTCCAACACCCTGAGCTAATTTCTAAGCTGAGAAAATCTTGTTGGAACTCTTCAGCTAAAGCTTGTTTAGCAGCAGTAGGCTTAGCTTTTGCTAGGAAAACAGTTTAATTTGCTTGGAACCCTAGACTTGGATCTGGTTTTCCTAGGACAAGAAGGATCAAAAGGCAATGATGACTCTAAAGGTGATAAGAAAGAAGATGAATATTAGACGAAATCAGACAGAGTAGAGGAACTGATGTGGAAGAATTATATATAGATGAAGAAGAGTTGGATAATGGGGAAAACTAGGGTTAGCTACTGGTGAATAGGATTGATAAATGAAAGGTTGATGATGAAAGGGAAAAATTTATAGGTGAGTAATAGTTGGATAATGGGGAAAGCTAGGGTTAGCTACTGGTGAATAGGATTGATAAATGAAAGGGTGATGATGAAAGGGAAAAATTTATAGGCAAGTAAGAGTTCGTTATTTGTTTAGTTAGAGAAATATTTGTATAAATAGGGGAATTATAGAGTTAGAAATGTATCTTGGTCATTGTAAAACTTGTGAATAGAGCAGTGACTCAACTGCGAAGGGGAAACCCTTGGAGGAGAGGTTTTCTCTTGTTCTCTTTCACCGTTTCTCAATCTTCTAATAGATATTCCCTCTGTTCATTCAATTATGCCCAGTTTTGGTTTTTTTTTTCCAAGTAGCCTAGTGTCTGGAATTCACCTTTTTAAAGGTGAACATGTGGGATGTCGCGGGTTTGAACCCGCACCGCTGCAGACCTGCACCCAATGTCCCTATACAGCTACCAACTTAGCTGGCTTAACAGGACTGGGAATTCTTATACTAAAAGAAAGGTTCCTAACAGGTGTAGAAATAGTAGATTTTGAAATATCACAATAAAGACACCCAAACTGATTAATGAGGACATATTTGGAAATACATGTTTTTCCATTAGGTGATGGGCCTATATAGCCCTTATGACTTGATGAGTAATCAACGAACACATTGAGATTTGAGACTTAAACTGCGGTTTTTGTTGATTATAGGGTCTCAAGAGACGATAGCATGCACCATCAAAGATACATAAGAGTGTATAATCAGTTGTTTTATGATAAGGCTTAACAAAGAGTGACATGGTGTGAAACAGATAGACTTCTGAACAAAATGCATGGTCCCAATATTTCATTGGTAAGGATGCATGAGATAAGATTGTTATCCCATTTCAACAATCTGCCTATGTTTACACTTGAATTTTCCTTTATGATGACGGGTATAAATAATTTACCTATGTGCGCGATTGTTATCCCATTTCAACAATCCGGTGAATTTTCCTTCTGAACAAAATTGCTGAATAATTCCCAACTCGGCAAGGAACTTTACTCAATAGCCTATGTTCGCAACCCCAACCCGGTGATGAACTTACTGTATGTAGTTAGTAAGTACATACATAATGCATAAATAAAACTGAGGTGGAAAACATACAATGTAAATCAGAAGCAATTTTAATAGTATTGCACGGTATATTACAACTGATTGTGCATCGTTGTTGGACAAAAAATACTATGGGAAAGGATGAGATGACAAGAAACTGAAAGGCATGAAAGAGAATGAGAGAGTGTGAGAATGAGGGATTTTGAGCAAATTATTTACATGATACATCAGTGGATATCTTATATGTGGTTCAAGTATACGGTGATATACACTGTAACATTGATATTTTTAAGAATGGCGAGTTCTTGCACATGTTCTATTGCCATGCACGTGTGAAAAATATGTATACTTCCCACTTTCTGATTTGGTCCGTCCATGGTTATTTGGTTTTGTTTTTATTGTAGTTGGAAATGTCAAAGACCTGGGCATTTAGCTGAAGACTGTCTAGTAAAGAGTTGCAGTGAGGTTTGTCATGAATACTATTTTTGCATAAAAGTTAACCTTTTTCTTTTTTGGTAATGAATTGTTTTGTAATATAGACCACAGCAGGAGGAAGTAATAGATCTAGTTCCATACCAAAGGATCTTTTTGGATTGTATAGAAGGTTTGCCAATTTCCTTTTACTTGTCTTGGTGATTCTATGTTCCTCTTGCTCTATTTTTATTTTATCATTCTCTAGCTTGATGCAAAGACAAATCCTAAATCCTTATTTGTTTACTACGGAGTTTTCTACAGTTTCTTTACCTTTTCTTTTTCATCCAGTTTTTCTTCTTGGTCAATTGATATTACGAAGTGTGCATGTTTCATTGTTGGATTATAAGGAATATGGATGATAAGTATATGTTCTTGCAGAGAGGTCCTCATGCTCTGCTTATTGGTGAATTTGTGTATCACCCTAGAGAAAATAATTTTTCTTGAGTGCTTCTACCCTTAAGCATAAAGGGACAGGTGTTTTAGGTAGAATGGCTTGGATATTTTCTATTTAAATTTAATTTCTGCTGTGGAAACTAACTCATATTGTTTGTAGTTGTACTACTGTTTAATGTATATTTGTATGCTTTGAATGTTTTATTAAATTCTCTAGAGAGAATATGTTGTTGAAAGATTGTACTTCTGTTCGACGCGGATATTGCCAAAGAAGTGAAGCAAACTCAGCAGATTTGGTTGACTCTTTTTTTTTTTTTTTTGTGCAGATGCCACCAGCTTGGTAAAGACTTGTTAGCTGCAAACTGTAATGCATGCCACAGCTCATCAAATTTGGCCACATGCATCGATTGTAGTATTGTTCTTTGTGATGGGTAAGCTTAAAATTTTTACTCTGAAGCAGCATTTAAGAATTTATGTATCCACCCTCTCTTTTCAAGTATATTAATTCTGATGATTATTGGTGTGGAAACTATCAATGTATAATGGCAATCAGGCATAGATAATCATATTCATAAGAATGCTGGTTGTCGATGCTATGCATCAATTAATAATAGATGTTTTTAATGCCCATTCTGAAACAGTACTGCACTTTTGATTGATATGATAAGCATTGTTTTCTGTCAAATTATTATGTGCTTATAGTTGGTGTCTTTGTTGGTGCTCATTTGTAACGGTGGAACATAAACTAAAACACAAAAACAATGCATGGATGCAATCATAGATGTAAAAATTACTATGCATTCTGATCTTTCTGACCTCCCACAGGTGATTTTTCACTGTGTTCCTGCATTCTAATGAATTCTAATATTCCTATTTTCCAGGGCAGGTCACCTGGATGATCATATAAAAAAACACCCTTCCCATCAAAAATATTACTCACACAAGCTAAAACGTCTGGTGAGTTCTCTCCTTTAAATGCATTGCTTGAATAAAGGCTAATTTTTCACCTTGTTTAGATATATGAATGCATTTTAATATGAGTATCTAATATATTTGAAGTTAAACATTGTATTAATCCTGACAATGAAATATTTCATCTGCCAACATACAACAAAAATAACAATAATAAAGTTTTTCCTTACTAGATGAGGTTGGCTTCATGGATCAGTTGACTTTGTGAAGTCCGATCATGTCTTTGCACCAAAGATAAAATCATTTACTTCTAAACCTTATAATTGTTTGGCCTATAATATGTTAAAAAAATCACGAGGTTAATAACTTTGGTGATGTTAGCTAGTGTAGTATAGTATAGTTTTTTTTTTGTGTAGAATATATTGATAAGGCTTGGTTGTTCCATGTAGCCGACCCCACTTAGTGGGATAAGACTTGGTTGTTGTTGTTCTAGAACATATTAATAAAAAAGTCACAATATATATATATATATATATATATATATATATATATATATATATATATTAATTCACTAAGTTCCCCTATATATATATATATATATATATATATATATATATATATATATATATATATATATATATATATATATATATATATATATATATATATATATATAACTTAGTGAATTAATATCTATAGCCCACCGAGATACTGATTCTGCATATTGGAAACAGCCGCACTCGATTTAGCCATATTACTATCAACAGAGAATCTAGGCACAAGAACCTAATTGGATTAAATTATGCCCTCAGTCTTCACAGTAACAAGCATCTACAAAATAATTGAGCTAGTATTATGAAATCTAACACTCAATGAACATAGCTAAAGCAATTATAGCCACCACCTTTTGTGCTAACAAAAAGCCTTTCTATGTATCTATTGAGTATTTATTTTCACATAGTTTACTGGAATTCCAATTGAAATTAAGCTACTGCTAGGTTTCCTTAATCTTCTGCGACCATGCATCTCCATTCCCCTGTGAGCAGTACCTACATATATCTTACATAATAAGATAAATGTGTAGTCAGTTATGGGTTTTTATTTTTTAAATCATGCAGTTTTTGAAATCTAGTAGTAACCATCTGACCATCTATCATATCATACATGGCTACTACCATAAGTTCTAAGAATGCATCGTAGAGATGTGATTTATACAAATAACATCCTAACAACACAAATAATAACCTAAGTGCATTAACAAAAATATTTCTCATTTAATTGTAACAGAAGCATATACAACATTCCTAAGCACTATTTGTATAATGAAAATAAAGATAAATTACATGGTCAAACATTTAAAACATAAACAATTAATTTTTCTGGTAAACAATTAATTTTGTTACCAAAAACTCAGTCCTGATAAATAAATTAACTAGTTCAAGTGTCTTTCCAAATTTGATTATGAATTCTTAGCAAAGTAAGGTACCACATCACCTAGTTCAAGTGTCTTTCCCATGTGTCCTTATATAACTTCCCTTCCTTTCTAATATAAGCAGTTATAACCAATTCTCTATTCAGCCTCTCTATTGGGCTAAGGCCTAAATCCAGTAAAATGGTTTATGGAGAGTGAGATTCTCCATAAACCATTTTACACAAGGTATGTAGGTCATGCGATCCAAAAGATACCATTAAACAGGTATCATGCATGCATATGTGTTACTTGTAACACACCTTTGAATGACAACCTTGATTCACCATCCTACAGATAATTAGCTCATGTCAATTTATGTTGCCGTAGGTTAAATGCTGCAAGTCAACTTGCAGGGTCACTGACATCAAAGATCTCTTGGTTTGTCACTATTGCTTTGATAAAGCCTTTGAAAAGTTCTATGACATGTATACTGCAACATGGTAGGTATCTTCAATTTCTCATATCAGTCTTCCTTGTTAGCTTAATACAGATATGTAATTTACTTGTTATGTGAAGGAAAGGAGCTGGGTTTTCAATTATATCAGGTTCTATATGCTGTGAAGATCATTTCATGTGGTAAGTATTGTCGATAGTCCTAAACAGGAGGTGTTTGGTTTCTATTTATGTAAATGTCCTGGAATTTTGATTGTCTGGGCACAGGATGCATAGGGATGTTTTAACCGAGTAAAATTATAACTGGTTCACCAAAATTTAGTTTTTAACATGAGTGCTATTTTCTTCATAAAATAAATTTTCATTTTTAATATGTAATTTTTTTCTTATTGATTATATAATTTAGTTTGTGTTTTTTTATTATTTATTTAGTATCTGTTTGGCTCGGGTTTTTATTTTTTTAAAATTTTACACATTAATAATTTGGAAAATAGCCAAACTTTTAAACGGACAAAGTGTAATTAGGTTAATATTTTTTCGCCCTTTAGGAGGGTTTGAATCTAAGAACTTATGCTCCTATAACCCTTAATTCAGCTAGTTCAAACCAGTTGAGTTAATTTTCCCCTATTTGTTTCAATTTTCTGTGTTCCACTCAAATAACTTTTTTTCTGCCTTGAGTCAGGCACAGGATGAATTGTTTGAATGCAGATGCAGAAGGAAGTTCATATATTGTAAAAAACAATGGCCTCAGAGGCAAACCTACGCAACTAAGTGATTTCATCTTTTGATGCTTGAATCACTTTGATCCTGAGTTTTGATCTCTTAAGTTGTTGCTCTTCAAACGTGTTTGAAGGACAATGAATGGGGTGAAGGTCTTGCTCAGTTCCACATTCTTTGAGGATTGACAACTGAGCGGTGGAGATTTTAAATGAGGCACTGTTGAAGGTATAGATCTTTTTGATATAAAAGTTGGGCTTATTAGTTCTTCTCATCGGTAGTCAAACGTATAGAAGTAGAAGCTTAATCATTTCATTTGAAGTTTCACCTGGGTTTTTGGCTTACTTCAATATGTTCTTTTTATGATCAATCCCTTTGAATTGTAACCATGCCTTTGTCATGAATGAGTATATAATTTACATCAATGTAATATTTATTCTCTTCATAACTCAAGGCCAATTCAGTATATATTTAAAGGCAGTAAACGATGAATAAAATTAGTTTGAACTTACAGACTTACCATTGCTTTCCCTAACCATGTACAATTGGAGTGCAATTTCACTATAATTGGCAGTAAAACACACTACATTTTAAGCAATCAATCGCATATTTTCTTTGAATGTTATGTTCGTTTTTTTTAATTGTTGTCGGGGAGTAGATCGTGCAAGGGATTGGGGAAGTATTTCCTGCTACAGGTGAATAGGGTGCCTAGTAATAGAGGGAGAGCAGAGAATTTGATATCAGCGTAGAATGGGAGAACTCCTTACTCCACCAACATTTTATTTGCAAACTCACACTTGAACTTGGCCCAGTGGGAGTGAATAATAAGAAACTGAAATGAATAAAATAAATAAAATTTTGTGGGACCAAATTGCCATGTAGGATTTAATGAATTTTGTTGTGTTTGTTTTTAAGATTGGTCTAATTTGCTTGAAAAAGCAAAGAAGAATTAATTAGGTTTCAAAAAAATCAACAAAAATGTAAAGGTGATTTGCACACAAGTAAGGGTACATGTTTATTACTTTGTAGAATGTTAGTATTAATTTTAATTTTGTGCTCCATATAAAATTATTTCATGCATTATTTTGCAAAAAACATGTTTCATGTTTGAATCACTAAGGTCCAAACTAGTAATTGTGAGGAAGTCGTCCATTGTTCACTTATATGTTTAACTTATATGTTTAAGATGACTGATAATTCTTGCTCTAACTCGTTTAAATTTATGTTTAATCTTACAATTGTTTTTGAAATTTGTGAAGTATAGAAAGGATTAAGACAATTTTTTTTTGATGTCGAGAAAACTCCCAAACTAAAAATTGCCTCATCCTATCTTGTAAATGAGTGAGCATTTGTGAGCCTTTTTGAGCCATAAAAAGTCATGAATGAATCAATTTTAAACTCTAAAAAATCACTAAATAAACCACTTGGTGAATTTGTTGTCTTTTATCCAAAAAGATCAAAAAGTTCATCATTGATGCATTCTAGTTTTTCTTGAAAGCAAACTCTTAACCAATCTTGACGAATCACCGAGAATGAAGACTATTGTTCTTAAAAGATAAATGTGAATTACTTAAGTTGGGGAGAGGTTGTTTTTTGTACAAGTAAAAGAAGAAAATTGAACAAAGAAAAAGAAAGATGCAATGAAAGAAAGAAAAGAGAAAGAAAAATAAAGAAAAAGAAATAATGAAAAACAAATTAGCACATTAGTGCATAAATTCTTTTTGAGGGGTGGAAAAGAAAATGAGAAAAGAAAAAGTGTGGATAATGTACAAATTTGAGATGCTCCATTAACTTGGACCATTTTTATTTCAATGACCTTAGAAATGACATTTCCTTGTGAAACTCGACCAAGTGACAATCATGAACAAGTCCTTAGTGATCTATGCTTTTATAAGTTCAAAGTGGATTGTTCAGATGAATATATAAATTGATCAAGATGTTAACAAGGTTATTGGATGAGACTTCACTTCCCGCATGATTGAATTCACAAGTTCTTCATCCATTTTATGAAGAAGAGTGTTACGGTGTTTCAAGTAGAATTATGTTGTTGCTTTAGAATGTATTACATGACATTTGTGTTTAGAACTTACTTCATAATCATGTTTTGATTCTAGGAAAGTAAATGAGCATAACCTGCACATGTGCCTTTGTTAACTTGAACCATACATTTTCTTCATTTGTTTTGGAAAATATTGTTGATCATGAAACTTTGTGAATCCTCTTGCTTTTGAAAAAGTTTTAAAAATTTGATTAAGGACAAACAAAGATTCAAGTTAAGGAGAGTTTGATAAGTGCCAAAAGATAATATTTATCCATATGAAAACTTGGCACTTACGGGCTTAAACTAGCATTTTTTACGATTGATTTTTCTAAGTATTACATAAAATTAAGTTTGATACATATATGTGTGGTGCCTTTTGATTTCTTTGTTATTGTGCCGAAATTTCCACACTTAACCAAGATCGAAACACAAAGCAAAGAAGAAAACTTCTTGCATGTTTTCTAGGCGAGTATCTAGTAAGGCCAAAGCGAGGGCTCGCCCAGCTAGCCAACAACGATGCTCAGGCATGGAGAAACAGAAGCAAAACATCACTCTTCTCGTCAGACGAACCTCAAGTGAGTCAGCTCACCCAACGAAGCAACAACGAGAGTAAGGCGAGACAAATAAAGAACTCTCCAATAGCAAAATGTTCCATTATCGCCGGGCGAAGCTGCAGTGAAGAAGCTCGCCAAGCGAGACAAGACAGTTTGAGATGTTGAGTTGGAAAAGACTTTAAAGTGAAGAAAAATGGCTTTCCAGGCGAGGCTACATCTTGCCAGGCGAGAGAAGCAGGGCAAGACCACTATATATAGTTCAGAAACATTTCAATTGAGGGGGTTGGAATTTTTAGATAAAAAATAGTTTAATAAGATAGAAAGAAACAAAGAGAAGAGTAAACTTGAAGAATACAAGCTGGACACACATCAATTATCGGGAAATCATCATTGATGCTCATCCATCTTCCTTTTTTCTTATTTGTAATCAAAGCTACCATGAGTAGCTAAATTTCTTTTTTATTGGGATTAGATATAATCCATCCGTACCGTATGTATTTACTATGATCATGGCGTTATATATGAATTAGTCATTTGTTGATATTGATGTTATCCATGTTTACTTGTTTTACTTATAGATTCGAACCGTTATTGACAAATACTCTTTGAATCTCAATCTAGGATAATCATCTGTTAGATGCTAAACTCTAGAAATAGATTTAGGTTTAGCATTCACAAGATTATTGAGTCTTAATACCACCGTGTTGTTTAATAGGTTGAGAGACCTCGATTAAAATATACGGTCGAACTCTCGTCAGGATTTTAGATATAAACGTTAACGGCTAGCGATACATGATAATATTGATCAAAGAACTAATCTCTGTATAATTGGTCGGAAGAATACATGTATGCTCGGTGGATGAATCTCAATCCTATCAAGCTTTCTCATATTTGAAACTTCACTTTTTATTTACCTTTTTACATTACGTACTTTGTGCAACAACAAAAAAAACAATTTGAAAACTTCTCAATTAAGCTATATCAATTGTTGAAAAATATTTAATATTGTATCAGTCTCCATGGATACAATTAAACAAATATTTACTTTTAATGTTGAATACTATATCAATCGGTTCATATCCGCATCAAAACATGAAAGAACCTTTGAAGAATTAGGTTTTCGAAATAAAAGGAATGTGAGTTAATTTTGCAATATCAAATTTATGGGGGTTATATCATTATATTTATGTAAGATTTAGTTTTTCCCCCTTCAATTTCTACATGTTGGATGTTTTAGGAAAAGAGGATTTTGAATTCTTCATTGATGTGACGCGTGATTTGTAATTGTATTATCTATTGTGAAGGGATGAGTGCAAGCAACAAACTGATGTGGTTTCACTTTGATGTAGGGGTGTGCATGGATTATAAACTAAACCAAACCAAACCACATATATGATTTGATTTGGATCTTAAAACCATTTATATAAAATCGGTTTATTTTTTTAAAATCGGTTTACAAGTGAATTGGTTCGGTTTTAAACCGGGTTTTTTTAAAAACCAGTTTCTCTCAAAACTAGTTTTTTATTTTCTTTAAAGAAATCAGTTTTAAAATCTATTTTATAAAAAAAAACCAATTTAAAAAAAAATCAATTTAGAGAGGATTTCATATCAAAATAGTATTATCACTAAAGAATTTAACCTCAATCTAAATAAAATGCATCCGCCTAAGAATAATTTTATCATTCTAAAGAATTTAACGACAAAATTATCACTAAATAGTAAAAATTGTAGATTAAAATTTGCACCATAGCACATGAATAATTTTTATAATCATAGACCAGTTTCATAAATTTAGTTTTCTCAGTTAATCACGTGTATATTTGGATTTTAATAATTAAAATTAATAATAAAAGATAAAGATAAAAGGTACTCTAGTATAATCGTTCTAGAAGTTAGAACATTCCATTTTATTAATTAAATATATAAATCTAGTAATATCTCTGTAGTATGTGAGCCCCACCCAGTGTCATAATGTAATTTTCACTTATAAACCGGACATTTTATATCATAAATTCTTCTTTATTATTTTTTTATGATTTTTTTTTTATTTTTTTATATTCAAAGTCAAGAAATATGGTTATAATACTATGATTTATTTATGATATATATAAAAATAAATTACTTGTTTTAATATATATATATATATATATATATATATATATATATATATATATATATATATATATATATATATATATATATATATATATATATATATATATATATATATATATATATATATATATATATATAAATTTTATTACATATACATTATCTTAATTATCATTTATAACTATGAAACAAAAATAAGATAAAGAGTTTGAAAAGTAAATTAATCATAGTTTTAAAAAGTGGTTATCTATTTTTAATGGTTTTGGTAAAATGAAATTGAATTAGTTTTTAAACTAAATAATATGAATTTTTGAAATCGGTGCACTATATTTTTAAACTTGGTTGAATCGGTTTTTTTACACAC